TTGACCTCCAGTTTTTTATTTTTCTTTCAAAAATACCTCCAGAACCCAAAATTTCACCTTTTTTTTCCAAAATTGTTTTCAATTTCATCCTCTAATTAATTTTTTTCATTAAAATAAAATCAAAAAAATTAAATAAAAATATATTTATATATTAATTTTAATATAATTAAAATTAATTAATTTAGGGTATTACAACTCTCCTCCCTTAAAAGAAATTTGGTCCTTCAAATTTGTCTCTCTCTCTCACTCAATCAAGAGTTCTATTGGTTGTTTTTATGATTTTTACCAACCTTCAATTTCTGTATCGGTGAGTAGTGTGATATTCTTACTGGACTAATGTGGCTCACCCTTTCATTAACTATTTCAGATCAAGAATATCAAGATCTAGATCCCGATCAACAAGAGAGTTGTGAATAGTTTACCACCCGAACTCCCTTCAAAAGTTAGTGAAGATCATCCTAAAATGCTCAGTTATTTATCTTTCGTTTATTTCTTTACTTTTCGTTTGTTCTTTTAGAATGGACATTTTCGTAACTTTATTTGGCATTGTAAATCATTGTGTAAGAAATATAAACCCTAAACTCTATTATTTCGCTTCTGCATTTAATTTACGACTTTATTCTCTTTTAATTTCCGGGTCTTTACAAAATAATTTATAATTTTATTATAGATTTTAATTTTATTGGATAATTAATATAATTATAATAAAGTTCTCTTATTGTTATTGCCCTAATATACAATGATCAATGTAAATATATGATTGTGGGCGTGCCTTGATAATATAAATATAACAATAAATTATCCGAATATAATTATTTACGTAAACTATATAATTACTCTCATTGATTTTCACACTAATAATAACTATTTTGGAAAATTAGAAATTTCCTTTTTGCATGCGCGTTCAATATAATTACAATAGTGTAAAAATCTTCTATAATTATTATAATTGTTAATTCATAGATAAATCTTCTATCGAACTTTATCATAAAAGGAAAATAATTGATTTAATATGAAAATCACCCACGAAAAAATAGAATATCAACTTGATTATTTTTATATAGTTTTTGTTTTAATCTAAAATAAAAATTTAGGTAAAAAGATAAAAATTTATTAAAATTTAATATCAACTTTATAATTAATTAAAAATACACTAAAAGAAGACAATTAAATTTATTGATCTTTTTTGAATAGTTAGCTAAATTGATAAAAAAAAAAAATTACTAAAATTTAATTGATTACTATAATGAAAATGAAACTATTTAATTGATTACTATGTTTGTATTTAATTAAATACGAAACTAAGTAAATATTGTTAAAATTTTTATTGAACTAAAGTTGTTTAATTTCTATACAATTTTCGTTCATATTAAATAATTTTAAAAGACTATTCTGAAGTTATATTTTTTGCATAGCACATGGAAAAAACTTAGTTTGATAATTGTTTGATTAAAAGTTTTACAACAATTTAAATATTCTAATTAAAAATTAAACTTCTTCTAAGATTTAATAATATAATTAATTAGAAGTACAATCTACTGAGAATAAAAATGACATATCTGAATGATATTATTACAAATTTTACAATTTAATTAATGAAATTATTCTTTTGTTAAAATTAAACTAATCGCGTAATTAAATAATTGTTAATCTAAATAATTAATAATTTTTCTAAGACATAAAGCTAATTAATGGTGCAAGAAGCTTGAATGAGAAGAAAATTATGAAAGAAGTTCATTGAAGACACACGCTAGCTAGTATATAAACCAATATGACCCTCCCATTTCTCTTCATCAATTCCCAAGCTTGAGAACTAAAAAGGTATAGCTAGTTTTACAATGGCTATAATATGTTCATTTTCCAAGTTACTTTTTGTTGCAATATGTCTTTTTGGTCATATGAGCTTGTCATATTGTGATTTTTCTATTGTGGGCTATTCGCAAGATGACTTGACATCTACTGAGAGACTTATTCAGCTCTTTAACTCGTGGATGTTGAAGCACAACAAGAATTACAAGAATGTTGATGAGAAACTTTACAGATTTGAAATTTTTAAGGATAATCTTAAATATATTGACGAGAGAAACAAGATGATTAACGGCTATTGGCTCGGATTAAACGAGTTTTCTGATTTGAGCAATGATGAATTCAAGGAAAAGTATGTTGGTTCCCTTCCTGAAGATTATACAAACCAACCTTATGATGAAGAGTTTGTTAATGAAGATGTTGTCGATTTGCCCGAGAGTGTTGATTGGAGAGCAAAAGGAGCTGTCACTCCTGTTAAACATCAAGGCTATTGCGGTAAGACTTTGTTATCTTAATAAGATATTCTCCAGTAATATATTAATTAACATATGTTATGTACATTACATCGATTAACTACTTTTTATTTGATTAATGGTGGTTATTTTGTATTGTAAAATAATGTAGAAAGTTGTTGGGCATTCTCAACTGTTGCAACTGTGGAGGGAATAAATAAGATTAAAACTGGAAATTTAGTAGAATTATCGGAGCAAGAACTTGTTGACTGTGACAAACAGAGCTATGGGTGCAATCGAGGTTATCAATCGACTTCGCTTCAGTACGTGGCTCAAAATGGTATTCACTTGAGAGCAAAGTACCCATATATTGCAAAGCAACAAACTTGTCGCGCCAACCAAGTGGTACAACTATGCTTTTATTTATATGTGTATATATATGTGTGTGTGAGCTCATGATTATATATGATTGTGTTTGAATATCATCAACGTTACATCTTCAGTATTAGATAATTAAACATATAATAGTAATAAGCAATTAATATTTACTTTTTAATTAGTACATGAAGTTGTTTTCTTAGTTTAAAATTTGATTGATGCAAAAAAATGTTTTGTTTAAATGCAGGGAGGTCCGAAAGTGAAAACTAATGGGGTTGGACGTGTGCAATCAAATAATGAAGGGTCTCTCTTAAATGCAATTGCGCATCAACCTGTGAGCGTGGTGGTTGAATCCGCTGGAAGAGATTTCCAAAATTATAAAGGGGTAATTAAATAATTATTTACTGAGTAGAGATTATATAAATAGTAAACAAAGATTGATTAATTCAATTTTGTGTGTTGTGTGTGATAGGGAATATTTGAGGGATCATGCGGAACCAAGGTAGATCATGCTGTAACAGCAGTTGGATATGGAAAAAGTGGAGGAAAAGGTTATATACTCATAAAGAATTCATGGGGTCCAGGATGGGGTGAGAATGGGTATATAAGAATCAGAAGAGCCTCTGGAAACTCCCCGGGAGTGTGTGGAGTTTATAGAAGCTCATACTATCCTATTAAAAATTGAGATAATGGGCTTTTATACTATCACTTACATACATATATATATATGTGTGTGTGTGTGTCACTTTTAGACTTATCTGTGTGTTTACTATAATAAAATCGTTGGATTAATAATTTATGTAATCCTGTACATCAAAGTTTGTTGAGACAAACTTTTTGTATTACATGTATTTTCTGTAATAGTGTTTGTTTGGATTGAATAAACTTTTATATATACTTCAATTTGTCTTCTCAAAATATCATTTTTTAATTATAATTTAAAATTTTGAATTATGCAGTTAGTAAATTTTTTAAATACATATATTTTAATGATCAAAAAAAGGAAAAAAATAAAATGAAATAAAGATAACAATAATAATAATAATAAACAAATAAATAAAAAGAAAGAAACCCTAATGTGTGAAGGAGGGGTAGAGAAGAAGAAGAAAAAGAAGGAAAAAAAAAAGTAGGAGAGGAAGGAGAAGGAGAAGGAGAGGAAAAAGAAGAATAAGGAGAAGGAGAAGGAGAAGAAAAAGAATAAAGAGAAGAAGAATAAGGAGAAGGAGAAAAAGAAGAAAAAGAAGAAGGAGAAGAATAAGAAAAAAAAGGAGGAGGAGGAGAAGAAGGAAGAAAAGAAGAAGAAGAAGAAGAAGAAGAAGAAGGAGGAGGAGAAGAAGAAAGAGGAGAAGAAGGAAGAGAAGAAGAAGAAGAAGAAGGATAAGAAGGATAAGAAGGAGAAGAAAAAGAAGAAGGAGAAGAAAAAGATGAAGAAAGAAGCAGAAGAAGTAGTAGCCAGATAAGAACACTCGCGTGCGATCGTTGCGTGACATGTTGGGAAGGAGTTATGCTGCAGCAATCGAAGGAGATCAATTCCTAATCTGTGGCGCGGTGACAAAAAGGCATATTTGCTCTTGGCACACAAAGTGGCGGCGAAGAAAGAAACCAGAAAGGGTTACGAATGACAGAGAATGAGCGGCTAGATCGCGGGGAGGCTAGATCTTGACAGCTTTGGTGAGATTTGTTTTGGACTGGGCGTGCCGTAACTTTCTTGTTGATTTCTACTCATTCGCAGTGGTGCGTGTTGACTCCGACAATGGCACATGCAGATTCATGTACCTTTTCCAACCAAACTTCAAGTAAGGATATCTTAATCTTCTCTGCAATTATTTAATAAAAGTTTGGCTTTTAGATCACCTTAAATCGATAGCGATTTTGAATTTAACATATATAAGATGCCAATGGTGATGATTTAATTAATTTTATGCAGTGTTGGTATATAATTGATTATGCATATAAGTTTTAGTTGTTTGGGAGGCAGGTCAACGTGCAAGAAAGGTCGTTCATGGCTACTTATGTGAGTGGGGTGTGTTCGTGTGTGTTATGGTGTTTATGTCTACTGAGAATGTGTGTATCAGTGTAGGTGTATAAATAAAGAGTGCATGTTATGTCACAGAAATGTGTGTATATATATAATATACATAAACAGAGTCTCTGTTAAATAAATTCTATTTGATTATTTATATCTAAATATAAATAATAAGTTGTGTGTGTTTAACGTACATATACGCATGAGGCTGTCTGCTTAACAAACTATGTGTGTGTTTGATATGCATATATATGCATAGTTGGATGTGAATTTTTCTTTTAAAATACAAATATAATGTTTCAGAAAAAAAGAATAATATCTCAAGAATGTTTGAATTTCTGAAGTTGAGATATGAAACATAAATAATCTTTGAAGAGGAAAACGCTTATCGGGTATCATGGGAGAGAGTGTACAGACTTAATACATAGAATAAACCCTACCGTATGTGTGTCCTCAGTCGTAGGAGGTTAGAAAGTCCTATACCGAATAGAGTTAGGAGTTAGTTAATTACTTTATACCAGACGAGATATTGAGATGGACTATAATTATGGCACCCATTACTGAACGAGGTATGAGGACGACCGATGAATTGTAAAATAAAATGTTATGTATATCTATATGTAGCGGGAATCCCTATGAGCCCCTAGTAATACCAGTAATAGAAATGACAATATGTAATAAAAATGGAAATAATAAATAACCCTGCTCTGGTGAAATAGTAAGGAACCTAAAGTTTCACATTTATAGA